AAGCATTCTGCAAGATCGTTTCTTTTACAGCGGAAAAAACGAGTCTGAAGAATGGAATGATGTGTTAGCAATGTGTGTAAAATTCTATATTATGATTGTGGTGGCTGAAGCTGAAATTGGCCAAATCTCTGAAATATAAAATTTTCAATAAGCTGGTTTTAGTAAACCGGACTCAAAATTTCAGCTTCAACTTCACAATAATTATGTATATACCATGAAATAAGCACTCTCACTACTAAAGGTGCGGACATTAGAACATAAAATAACATGTGGCGTAGCCGTAACTAGGGTAGCTATCCAAATTTTATATTACGTAGAGGATAACTACCCTTGACCTGACGAATTTCCGCATCTCTACTTACTACACCATTTTTTTTAATATCAAATTAACAGAAGCAATTTTCAACGCTGTTATAGTTGTTCTGATATTATAAAAAATGATTCAAGAGACGGTGATTATTTCGGTATAATACAGTAGATAACAAGTTTAATTAAGATAATATTAACCGAATCTAAAATAAGCCGAAGTAATGCTAGTTAATATAGCAAAACTAATATTTAAACAAGTATTTAAAAGAATGCCTATAATTCACTTACGTTCGATGTATCAGTAGCTTGTGTGAGACTATAATAGATAAAGTAAATACAAAGTTTATATAAATGAAATACTAATACTATTCGACCTTTTATACTTACTGTGGATATATGTTTAGTCTGGCACGATTAGTTTGGGTAAATCTCCATAATATATACTTCGCGGCTTTATTAACGTCGGCACCTCCTAATTTTTGTCATTGACAATATGATGAAAAAACATTCGAGCCAATTTTATACGTATTAAATGAATTTACCTAAATATTCAGGAAAATAATCTTTGAGAGGTACTCGGGGTACCTTGACTTTGAACAAATCTATTTTGTTTAAAAACAAAATGATAGATGTTCGCAGAAACCATCGGCTATTAATTACAGATTCAAATAGTACAAGGCTTTCTTTCATACGATTCTGCAATTATGTATGCGTTAGTTCTTGAAAAATTCAAAATAAAGATTTGAAAATTATAAATACCTGGCCTGATTCTTCCAAAAGAACTTGGTCATATTCGCTGAGAGCGACACAAAAAATAATAGACGTCACGGCTTCAAAACAATGAATCCATTTTTTTCGTTCTGACCTTTGGCCTCCTACATCAAACATGCTAAGTATAGATTTGAGATTGAATTATCATATATTAAAAGAAAAACGAATTGGAACAAGTACGGGCACATAATAGTCTAATAAAAGCACATACTGTATGCTTAGTGTACCCATGTTAAATCTTGTTTCAGATATTCCTGTAGTTTTGGTTCGAGCCCGAAGTACATCGGCTTCATCTGGAATATAACCTTGAGTCCCAATTCGCCTTACCGCATCAAAAAAGCTAAAAAAAATAGGAAAGTTGATGAATCTCCATTATATTTGAACAATTATGTATACTTACTAAGGTGCAGAATCCATCAGATAAAAATGGCTTTGCTTCTCGAGAACTTCTGTTATTATCGGATCATTCCATACAGAATCTATGGCTTCAACTATTTCTGGACTTAGTTGAAAAGCAGGGTCAGATTCTACACTATATTCCAGAATTCTATCGATATAGACCTATAATTTTAATGCAAACGATGAATTAAATTGTTTGTTATTATTATTAAATTAAACTATGAGAATACGTACTCTGTTTATTGTCTTCTTAGGCTCAAATCGAAATTTTTTAATAGCGTTAACAATCGCTTGTGCTGAATCAATGAGGTTTTTATAAACTGTTATCCGATAAAGTGCTAACTCTTCCTTGGAATAACCATTCTGATGTATTATTTTCATTTGTTTAACTATCGTCGATTTTCCAGATTCACCTGACCCTGAAAAAATGGCATTATGCAATTAATTTCTAGAGTTCGCTTATTAAAAAACACTGACAAAAAACTGACAGTAATAAATTGATCAAACGGGTTATAGTAACCCTCCATAGTTCTTGCAAGTAGCTTAAGCCAAATGTTATGACAAGCAAGACTTTCGTTCGAAATCTTGGAAACACGTGAATAATAGATGAATAAAATACCTAACAAGAGAATTTTACATTCTTTCTTGAATTTTTCACACATTGCTAACACATCATTCCATTCTTCAGACTCGTTTTTTCCGCTGTAAAAGAAACGATCTTGCAGAATGCTT